CCCCCCCACACACACACACAAACACACACACACATACCCTCCCCCACACACACATACAAACACACACCTGTCCATCCCTTGTATATCCTTATCCATCTGCCTAAGGACCTGCTTCAGTCCCCGCTGTATAATGTCCAGAAATGGAGGGTCGTGGGGTGCGAACCTTGTCTCGGCCACCACCAGGATGTCTGTGGGCAGCTCGTGTTTGACCTCGGGGTTAAAGTAGTGGACGAAGTGACCACCGGAAACCTGGGGCGGACACACATGATTTTTTGAAAAAGTTTTAGTAAGAGTTTCACGGCACTTGCAACACAATAAGGTCATATAAGTGCCGAAGATTAAAGGTGTTACTAGAGAGTAACAGACACAAAAAAGAAGGAAGGGAGATAAGGACGATAGATGTTTGATAGAAAAAACCCAGAGCATCCGCCAACCACTCACAGTAAGATTTTATATTGCTATTGCAACACAATAAGGTCATATAAGTGCCTTTAGAAAAGAGGTGTTACAAGAAAGTAGTATACACAAAAAAGAAGGAAGGGAGATAAGGACGACAGATGTTTGATAAGAAAGAAGGAGCAAACCACATCAGAGCACCCGCCAACCACCCACAGTAAGATTTTTTTTTACAGCACTTGCAACACAATAAGGTCATTTAAGTGCAGAAGATTAGAGGTGTTACTAGAGAGTAACAAACACAAAAGAGAAGGAGGGGAGATAAGGACGACAGATGTTTGATGATGAAAGAAGGAGCAAACCACACCAGAGCGACCGCCAACCACCCACTGGGGTGGACACACAGAGATTAAAAAGAAGTGTTTTTATGTCCCCATTGACACAATTTACCTCATAGGCAGAAAATCGTGTAGTTGTGACTTGTTCAACTTGTTCGTATGTTTCAGAGGTTGTTTGGTTTTGGTTTTACGACACTTGCAACAACAATATCTCATATCAGGGCCAAAGTTAGAGTTGTTACAAGAGAGTATATTATTGTGTTGAAGGAGGAGGTTAGTTTGGGAGGTTTGGGGGGGGGGGGGATCACGCTAACAGTGACAGATGTAAAGACCAACAGTTTAGTTTTAGTAAGTGTTTTACAGCACTTGCAACACAATAAGGTCATTTAAGTGCCGAAGATTAGAGATGGTACAAGAGAGTAACAAACACAATAAGGAGGGTAGATAAAGACGATAGATGTTTGATAGGAAAGAAGAAGCAAACCACACCAGAGCACCAGCCAACCTCCCAATGAGACGAACAGTACCAACTGAGTCACAGACATATATGTATAGACAATAGATACACACACACACACACACACACACACACACTCACACACATATACACACATACACACACACAAATACACACTAACATACAAACAGATATAGACAGACATACACACAGACGCATACACACGCGCACATACGCACACACATACAAAAACCAAAAAAATATATATTTGTGCATACATGTATGTGTATACTTGACCGACAAATTCAAAGGTAGACATTCACACATTCACACGCATACAAAGGAGGGGAGAGAGAGAGAGAGAGAGAGAGAGAGAGAGAGAGAGAGAGAGAGAGAGAGAGAGACAGACAGACAGACAGACAGACAGACAGAGATAGAGATAGATAGATAGATAGGTAGATAGAT